ACCTGTCATGAGGGCAACCAGCGAGCGGGAGGTTGCTGCGGCTCCTTGACCCTCTGCGCAGCGGGCACCCTCAGCCCCCACCCAGCTCAACGCAGCGCCGGCTCTCGACTCCGGTCCCCCCTACATCCGTGCTGGGGATTTTATCCTCCTGCTCGGGGGTGGAGACTCCCTTGCCCTGGCTGCGCAGCGCGGAGATGAGCGGGACAGAGCGGCGGCGGCGGTCCTCGGGGGGCTGGCTGCCTTGCGGCGATGCAGAGCACATCCCGCCCCGCTTCCCCAGAGCAGGCTGCCTTGGCGCCTTGATGAGCTGTTGATGGACGGGAGGTGAGTGGTGGCCTTGGGACAGGGTCAGACAGGGCTGGGATCACCGCTGGTCCTCTTGGTCATGGGGCAAGGGTGTCCTGGGCCAGGGAAGGGCCACATCTGCCTGTTTCTGGAGCAAAGGCAGACTGTCTCCTTCACCCTTGCATACAGCACATGTGATCTGGGGGAGACTGGAGCTGCTCTGAACCTCTCACCCCTGGGGAAAGCCTAGACTGGCCTCGGTGGTGGGATGTGTCTCCTGGTTACTCGGCTCCCCTTGTGAGCAGGAGACAGGTGCTCCTTGAACCCTACGACCTCTTCCTTTCCTGGTGACCAAGTCACGTCTCACCAGCCCTTCACCCCTCAGAAGGGACCCAGACCCCTGGGAGACCCCCTCGGAGACTTGGCACGTCTGCCCAGGCCCAGCTCCCACCTTCGTGAGGACAGCTTGGCCCAGCAAGCCCCCAGTTCAGGACAGCGGTGGTGGTGGTGGTGGTGGTCCTACTGAAGCAGGCGTGGGCCACAGCAGCAGTGCCCTGACCGCAAGCAGGCGGTGGGTAGCGGGGAGGCTCACGCGGCCAAGCCCATCACCAGCAGCTGAGCCGCAAGACCCTTCCTCCTGGGGTAGAGGTAAGCCGGGCCAGGTGGGGCCCCATTTGCATGTTAGGGCAGGTCATGGGGGCCAAGCAGCCCCCCAAATCCCAGGGCAAGAGGAAAGGGGGCTGCTGAGGGTCTGAGAGCGTGTGCAGACACAGTGCACAGGGGGCTGGCTGCATGCTACAATGAGCTGAGAGGTATGTGTGGCACGACGAGGGGTCACTGCCTGAATTGGGGAGGTGCTGAGAGAGGTGGCAGGAGGCTGGAGGTGGATGCCATCCGTCCGTCCCCCCACCCCTCAAACCCATCCCAGCTCTCAGCACGGTGCGGCTGCCCGTGCAACAGCCTCTGGCA